GGTGACAAGGCGAGTGGCTGTGTAACAGTGCTGGCAGATCAGCCTAAGCCCAGCTACATTCAGCTTCTGACATTGTTATCTGAGACCCATTGGGCTGCACTGGCAACCTCCAGCCCACTTGTGGCAGCCATCCCATTACCGAGGCCAGCCCTGCCACTATGTCACCAGGGCCTGGCCGCTGCTGTGCATACCAAACCTGATTTGCTCATCATATCTGCCCACAGCACACTTGCTTTGGGTGGATGCCGCGGTATTGATCTTCTCTGTGTGACCTAAAGCCACCTCTTCCCCTGCTCCTGTGACGCCTCTCCCTGTCCAGGACAAGCCACACGAGCTGCTGCCAGCCCTCTGCACCATGCAGCACCTGCCAGCTGCTAGCAAATATTTACCACCACCCTGTGGGCAGCCTGCCTATGTCAACAGCTCATCAGTCAGGATTTACAGCTGCCGGCAGGGGCTGAGAGGAAAGCAGCCTTGCAGGAGCTCAGCCACCACGAGCCATCAGCAAAGGGGAAGCAGAACAATATTTCTCACAGGAAAACATTGCTTATAAAGAGGATCCCTGCAAGAACAAGGATCTTGGCCCTCCCGTGACATGCTCCCGTGGGCAGCAGAAGCAGGGCCTGGCTTCCAGCCCACCTGCTGCCACCAGGAAAGGAAATGTTCCAAAAGATCCAGGGGGCTCAGCAACACTGAGCAATAACCTCAGCGAGCCCTTTGTTAATTAGCAAGGAGCTCCCCAGCCTGGCTGCCTGGTGGCCACTTCGGAAGGCGCAGCCCACCACAGCTCACAGGAAAGCTCAGCCTGTTTCCTTTCCCCTCAGGAGCTCAAGGACAGCTGGAAAGCAGCAGGCGAGGCTCTTGCAGACCTGCATCTCCACTGGCACACAGAGCCCTGCACCAACCAGTGCCACCGTCCTCGCACCCCAGCAGCACCCCACACACCCATTCACGCTGACCCAACCATGCTGACTGTGAGCAGCTGGTGCTGCACTTGTGCTCAGCAGCCCCAGTTCTATTTCAGCAACAAAAACTACTGCCCTTTGCCACACAAGTGTGTTTACCTGCCTCAGACAGTGGCTGAGATCCGTTTTGATGATTGGGATCAACCGCTTTGAGCAGGTCTGAGCAGCCAGAGGAGCAAAGAGCAGAGGCAGCATAGTCAGCCCAGTGCAGCCTCCACACTGAGCTGACAGCTGTGTTCTGGTGGCTTGCAGTACCCAAGGAGTCTGGACAAAAGCCAAGCCACACACATTCCTGAGTCTCACTGCGTTTTCCCCAAATTGCCCCAACAGTACAAAGGAATTTCCACCAAACTTGAGACTGGGAGAAGCTTAGCTTGATGGTAAGCAGGCAGTGGGCCTGCAGAGCTATCTCCCACCCAGGCAGGCCCAGCAGGTGCACAGGCATCATCTTTCTTCAACCCAGCAGCACAACACCTCCATGCAAGGACAGGTCTAGCTGGGGGCTTTGCAGAAAGAACAGCAATTACCCACACTTATTTTCTCTGGCTGGGTTTTAACATGTCCAAGTAGGGAGTTCAGTTTCTAAGCTAGAACACACGATGCTGGCTCTGCTTTTCCAGACTGCTGTGGATACTCCTTAATACATTCCTCTGTCTCCCAGAAGTTTAGTCCAATTGGGACAGTTGGTGCTTCGCAGGAAAAGGTTCTGGCACTTGGCATTTTGAAAAAGAGCTTTCATCATCCCCAAGTGGCAGACAGCCCCAAGGCAGGTCTGGTGGCACAAAGCTAGTGCATGCCCCTTAGTTACTACCGCACTCACTGCTGACCTCCTCCAGGAAGGAAACACTTTCTCAGCAGGCTGCACTGCATTCATGTACTGCAGCCCACAGTCAGTGCATCATGCAGGGAGGGCTTCATCTTCCCCTTCCACAATCACTGCACAGAGAGCCCCGGCCCCTCACACTGCAACTGCTACAAGAACAACCACAAGACGAGTAAAGCTGGCGTCAGATTTTTATTTCTTCGTACTCTTTAAACAGGAGTGACTGAAATAGAAACCATGTTTGAGTCCCAGCAGTGGGAATGATTTGATAAAGATGGGGCAGGAGGTTGTCCCTACCCCATGCCAACCTGTATAAATATCATCCGTTACTGTTAGTAACTAGACAGTTTTCATACAAGTCCATGAATGGTCATAGATAACATTACAACATGCCAGTTCAAAACAAGAAATAACTTATGTGTACTTCTTAATTTCGTCATACAGAACTAAGACAAAAGCACCACCCATTCCTCGGAGCACATTCGACCAGGCACCTTTGAAAAACGCCTTGGAGCCCTCGTCCCGGGCGATCTTCCGCCAGCAGTCAATAGTGCCAGAGTACATTATGTCAGCTGTGGGAACAGACACTGTTAGACACCTGGTGCCTATGACCGCCAAAATCCAGATCAGAACCAACCTAGCATATCTGGCAGTTTTACAACCTCAAGCATCCATTTCTTGGCTTACTTTTAGAGGATGAGATTACCCTGTGGTCTCATCCACAAGGTCTGTGTTACCCTCAGGAGAGGCTGGATGGACCAGTTTGAGCAGAAAGCAGCTAATATTTGCTAGACACCAACACTTCCAGACCCAAAAGCTACTGCACAGTCAGCCAGGCTGTGCCTGCACTGAGGGACATCCCTTCTTAGCCCAGAGACATGAGTTTGCTTGCACCCTCGGGCAAGTTCTGCCATTCTACCTACTGAACAAACCCAACTTGCATGTTCCCCTTACAGGGATGCCACAGGCTCCAATCTGTTTGCCCCCTACCTGACATCTCTGTGAGCTGCAGGATTCGAGGGGACTGCAGAAGCAGAAGGCAGCATTTAAAGGCCCTGATGAAAGGCAGCACACTCCTGCCCCCAGCTCAGACCTGCTACCACATCTTGATTCAGGGATGCCCACCAGCTCCTAACACATGGAGGGAAGGAGCGACTTACTTCCTTTACGGCCGGACTGCATCATCATGCGGCGCCGAACTGTATCAAAGGGATAGGAGGTCAAACCGGCCACTGCAGTGACCGTCTGAGCAATCATCCAGCTGACCACGATGTGGGTGTTCTTTGGGTCAGGAAGCATTCCTGCAGGAGAGAGGTTCTGTGTGAGAGCAGCGGGCGAGCCGGCAGCACGCAAAGTGCAGGATGCGGGCCGGCACCTCCACGGGAGCACCGTGCCACCCCACCTACCCTTCGCGGTGTCGTAGATGCCGAAGTAGGCGGCTCTGTAGATGATGATGCCCTGGACAGACACGTTGAAGCCCTGGTACAGACCCCTGAGGCCATCCGAGCGGAAGATTTTCACCAGGCAGTCACCGAGGCCGCTGAACTCGCGGTCGGCCCCGGCTTTGCCCACGTCGGCTGCCAGGCGGGTTCTGGCGAAGTCGAGGGGGTACACGAAGCAGAGCGAGGTAGCGCCGGCAGCGCCGCCGGACGCCAGGTTCCCGGCGAAGTACCGCCAGAACTGGGTGCGCTTGTCCACGCCGCCCAGGAAGATCTGCTTGTACTTGTCCTTGAAGGCGAAGTTGAGCGCTTGGGTGGGGAAGTACCGGATCACGTTGGCCAGGTTGCCGCGCCAGAAGGAGAGGACGCCCTGCTCGCGCGGGATGCGCACCACGCAGTCGATGATGCCCTTGTACTGCTTGTCGGCGGCGATCTGCTTGCTCGCGTGCTGCACCTGCGAGGCCCGCAGCGCCGTCAGCGCCGCTCCGCGCGCCCGTCCGCCCCCCCACCGCCCCCCTCTCCTTGCGGCGACCTTGGAACGCCCGCCGCCCCCGTCCCGCCGCTCACCTGCAGCAGCAGCTTCACCCGCTCGATGGGGGCGACGGCAGTCTTAGAGATGGCGGCCGCCACCCCCCCGGCGAGGAAATCCTTGAGGAAGGACACGGCCGCGTCGGCCATGGCGGGAGGCGGCGAGGCGAGGCCGGGCGGAAGGAGAGGGGAGGCGGCGCTGCGGCAGCGAGGCGGGCGCGGGGCCGAAATGGCCGCCTTTTATAGGGGCGGCGGCGGACACGTGGGTGGGGGCGCGCCACGGCAACGCGCCGCCGCGTTCCGCCCGCCCATTGGCTGCGGGAGGGGGCGGGGCCGCCGCAGCGGGGCGGGGCTTCGGGCCGCCGAGCGGCGCAGGGGGGCGGGAGACGGGCCGGGAGCCCGCGAAAAGGCCGGGCCCGACGGCGACGGCCGCGGGCTGAGAGCCGTCCTCCGTGAGCTCCCGCCGCGTCAACGGCCGCGGCGCTGCTCCGCGTCACTCGGCCTCGGGCACGGCGGCGGGCCGGCAGGCAGACGCGCGCGCCGCCGCCGCACAGCACCCATGGCTTAGCCCAGGGCCGCTCCGTGACCTCGGTCCCCGTTGCCACATCACGTAACGTGCAGTGGAAGCAGGTTGGTTGAGTGCTCCGTGAAATAGTTTTGTTACCTTGCGGAGGGGTTTCTCACAGAATCACAGCACGACCTTAAAGCTCCCCCAGCCCCTGCCATAGGCTGGCTGCCCCCCTGCTCAGGCTGCCCAGGGCCCAGCCCACCCATCCCACTGCAGGCTGGGTGCACACAGCTCTGGGCAGCAGTGCCAGGGCCTGCAGAAAGTTATTTCTGACATCCGGCCACAATTTCCCCTCCTTTAGTTCAAAGCCCTTTGTCCTATCACTGTCAGCTCCTCTCAAGCACTGTAAGGCTGCAATGAGGTCTCCCCAGAGCTCTCTCTTCTCCATGCTGAACAAGCCCAGCTCCCTCAGACTTTCTTCATAGGAGAGACCAACCTCACCTTCCAAGCGCCTTAACATCTCTTCCAGGAGGACCTGCTCCATGAGTTCAGACTCAGGAGCCCGTGGCTCCCCAGCTCTTCCTTCTAAGAAGATGCAATCACACATGGAGAGGCTTGGCTGATACAAAGTTAATGAACACAGAGGTGTCAGTGGCATATCACAAACAAGAGGTACCTTGTTGACTCGCTTGGCTCTCAAGAGGTTTAAAGAGGTGAGCGAATATTTATATGCATCATTCAATCTTTAACATTTATTTAGAAATACAACATCAGTTAAAAAAAAAAACCACACCAAAAAATCCGAGTACTATGCTTTGAACAGATAAGAGCATTGTTCAGAAATCAGTTCTTCCCCAACTTGCTCACAAGTCACGTTTCCTTATTCATACACATCAAATACACATCAGTATTGTTATGACACTGTGCAGATGGGGAAACTGAGGCACAGAGGAACACCTTCACTAGGCAGACTGATGAGAGCCAGGAATACTTACAGCCTCCACCTGGCTCACAAGCCACAAGGACTGCTCCCTACCATCTTGAGTTTTGCTATCAACACCCGTGCTTCTCTCTGAGAAGAAAACCAACCATCATAGCAGTACACAGCAAGTCCATTGCTGGAGATGCCACAAGACCTCAGCTGTGGGGTACATCAACAATCAGAGCCAGGGGCAAAGCAGGTGTTGAAGTTATCTCAGATAATGGTATTACATTGCTTGAAAGAGTCTGGTGAGAGAGCAGTGGCACCAGTGACAACCTGGTGGTTGTGCTGAGTTTCCAACCTAAAGAAGTGCTGCAGATCCCGGACTGCAGAAGTTCAAGAGGGAAAATGAGAAGACGTGTGCATGGTGCTCTTCTGCAGGCAAGTTCTGAGCAGCACAAGGGTCTGTGCACAAGGACTGAGAAGTAGTTTAGCATAAAAATAGAACTTTGAGAATACTGAGAAACATCGTAAGGCTCGTGGCTCTGAAATAGCTTACACACTTAAGGTCTGCATTTTTCAGAAGATATTTTAGTTAGAAATTTTCAGGAAAACTTTTTTTCTAAGCCTGAAATAACTCACGTACACAGGAGAAAGGGAAAAAGATTCCCAGTAAGCACCTACGTTTAGAAGATTGTCATTCCAGTGTGTTACAGTCTATTAGCAAAAACACAATTGCAGCAGCTTATTTTTACTGCTGTGCCAAAGACATGTACAAAATCATTATTCTTAAGGAAGTCTCAAAAATGGAAGAGTGGATTCTGGAGTGTGAATGAACTGAGGATAATTCTGCATCTGCAGAATGCCACGTCCACCTGTTATCACTAAAGAGATTTCAGTAGAATTACTTGCATTTGTCTATCTAGTCTGCTTACCATTTTCTGATGACTTCTTATCACAAGGTACTTTAAAAAAATCCAATCTGAACTTTCTTAATGTTTTGAAGATGCAATCTGTACTTGTGTCAGTTTTCATTCTCTCCAAGTGGTTTATCTTAAAGTGGCTATCCAGCACTGAGAAGCACCTAGAATAGCGTCAGTTCAAGCTGCAATAGCATACAGTGTGTTCAGACGAGTTGCATCTCTCCTCCTTGGTGTATGCTTACTACTTTTATTGTGTGCATCCATTCAGCAAATGAGATAAGAGGTTTATTCATCCCCTGCATCCTGTAGTCTCAGCACTACAGCCATGCAACTTGCTGAGATGCTGGTACCTGCAGTTCAGCATGTCTTTCTTGCAAAGTTCCTGAAGAAAAGGCTTCTCCAATGGATGCTCTCCTGTCAGTTTTCAAGAGCCGATTTCCTTGGCTCGAAATTTTCTCTTCGGAGGCGCTTTAATTCTCTCAGTTCTTGAGGCAGCAAACTCTGATCCACCCCAGGAGTCAGCTTGTAACTCAAAGGAGATTCAATATAACCATTTCTGTACAGACAGACCCGCTTGCAGAATTCAAAGGTGCTAAACATAACACCAAAGTATGGAACAATCTGATTAAAAAAAAAAAGCAGCGTGTTATGCTCATAGTATTCTTAGATGCTTTTATAAAGGAAAACTTCTAGAATTTCAGGTTTGATGTCATCTGCTAACAGAACTGTGCTCATTTACGTGAAGTTAGACTCTCCTCAGACTTGGTTTGCACCTGCATCATGCTGAGGAGTTTGCTACTTGTGCACAGCTAATTCTAGTAACACCGTGAGGAACAAGGTCTGTGCTAGACTGTAAGTCATCACAACTTCCAAACTATCTCAGCAAATCCTAAGCAACCTCAGCGAATCCTAATATGGACTTAATTCTTCATAAAGCAGAATGACTGAACAATCTTCTTTTTCCCTGCGCAAAATGAGCAGCCCTGGTGCTACATGGCCTTACACCAGCCAAGGCAGGGCCAGCCATAGCCCAGCCACCACTACTAGTTATGCTCAGTTACCACTCATCAGCTGATCAGGTAATCCTCAGTGCAGCACTGTACAATGTATCTATCTAACTAACCTCATGTTTAAGCTATCGTTTTTTATTTCATGATTTCATCTCTGTAAGGGCTGCATAACTGGTGTGCATGCACTACTAGCTCACTGCAAAATGCAGCTTTTGACTTCTGTGGGAGTGGTTAATGCAAGAGCTATTTTTGTTATAGCTAGGTACAGTCTGTCAAATTACTGGAGCTCAGATGAAAAGCAGAACTCGGTTAGCTGCTTTAAGCACATCACTAGCTGTCCCCCATCCATACTCTGGCTTGAGTGTTAGAAACCTCCCTTTCCTAAGGGCATTCAAATGAACTTGAAAGAAGTCACATAAAGAAGCTGAACTCGCACCTACAGAAATACAACCAAACCTGTGATCCAAGGCTGGCTTATAGCCTGCCTGAGGTTATACCTGCGCTGTGACTGCCTTTGTCATCTCTAAGCCACTAATAAGTATGGAGGGTTGCCACATGCTTTATGACTTCAGTTGTGCGAGAGCGTGCCTTAGCTCAGCGCTGAAAACCAAAGCTCACCTTGAGCAGGCTGGGTGTGAGGCCGCTCCAAAGCCCGAGCACACCTTTGTTGTTCACGGTTTGCCGGAAGCAGTCAGCCATGCCTGTGAAATGGACGTCCACCATGCCACAGTGAGGGAGCCACGGACTCTGCGCCTGTTCAAGACACATCCAGAGGGTTCACAGCAAGCAGAGGAAAACTGGCGTAAAGAGAAATAAATGCATCCTGGTTCTTCTCCTCCATCCTGGTTCTTCTGTTAATCAAGAAGTATCAACTATTTTGCCTTCACAAACTGAGCAGAGAGTGATTTCACTCTCTGAGAGGTATGAAAGGGAGCAGTAATTTTCACCGGGATTTCCTTTTGTGCCATGTCACTGCTCACATCTGGGAAGGCATTTCAGAACCCTGGCAGCAGAGGACCAGTGGGCTGGAAGCCCAGGGTTGGCTCTGAATACCACTGGGCCTTCCTGTAAGTCTGATAAAGCAGGAGCATGCTGCCTTGACTCTGTCTGCTCAGGCAGCTTACACTGTAATGAGAAGAGCAAACTGCACTATGCACTGAGGAGCAACAGCAGAGATGGAACACATCTCAGCACAGGCTGCATGAGCCCGCCGAGGGCTGCAGGCAAGCAGCTGGTGCCTGTGTTCTGGTATCTTTGCTACATGCTCAGCTCGCCCAAACCAGCTAGCGTCAGCTTGAGAACATCCTGCTGGACTGATGCTACATTTCCAACTGCAGCGTACGCTGCCTTGGTTCACATGGAGGAAGTGTAGTGTGTCATTTTTAACAGCAAAATCCTTCCTTCGTTAATCTCCCACTGTGTTAGCACAGACAGGACAACTTGACCTTGAATAATCCCATCTTCACCCATCTGTGCACATGCAACAAGCTGTGGGTTTGTTCTGCACTGGCACATCAGGCTCTCGCTCATACCCACATACCTCACAGGAGCATGAGGGGACCCCAGGATACAACTTGACGATTGGTACATAGAGCTGATCATCACAGGGCAGCAGTTTGCTAAGAACAGGACAAGTACCGCTGATCGGTTGGTGAATACAGATATTAATATCTTCTCTTTTAGTTGAAACACCACATATAGCCTTTCTTCCTTGCTTGGTCAAACTAACCCGCAGCCTCTCAGAGTTGCTAAGCCTGTGATGACAAGCCTCTTGTTAACCGACAAGTGGTGATGAATTTTCTACATGCCTGAGCTCTAGCATTTCAAATACTTGGCAACTTGGACGGTAAAAGTGAAAAGAGATCAAGACTCGTGCTCCAGATATACCAGAGAAGCTGCTAATCAAATGGTTTAAAGGTTATTGTATCCCGTTGCATTGCTGGAAAGTCTACAGCTAAACTTTAGAAGCAAATGAAAAAACAACAACAACAAATTCAAACAAGCCAAAAACAAATGGCCTCCCCCACAAAAACTGCACGAGCCTTCTTCAGACTTCTATCCCCCAATATGTTTGTATACAATTAAAATGCATGTGAAACACTCCTGAGAGCAGGTTACAGGTGAAAATATACCATTTGTTCTGATAGGAACACCTCTGAGAGGTGATTTTAGGAAAGCAGCTGTCTGCACTAAGACAGCAGGCAATATGCTTTCACTACATTCTTATCTGGTCGCTTCTGGATCTCCTTGGTCGCGTCCTGGCTCTTTTATCCCACACACAAATAGGGCTGAGGATTAATCCGTGGTCTTTTACACTTGAAGCAAAAGGAAGCAGAAGTTCTCTCTGAACTTTTTTCAACAGCGTACACCTAACTTGCAAGAGAGGGACCCAGACAAGTTCCCACAGCCTCTGGTTTACGGTTCAGAGAAGCAGATGTGATGGGATTTAACTGACAGGACTTTATGGTATTACCAGCCCTGCCTTTACAGAAAGATCAAGGTAACAGAGCTACTCTGGTAGCCAAGGTTCATGCATGTGTTCACTTCTGCTCCCCTGCTACAAGCAAGCTGTCCGCTTGGCTTTTTCACTTACGGGGTAGTAAGAGTTTAAAAAGCAAAAGCTAAATCCCACAGAAAGAAATACAGTAATTGAGAAACTGCTCTATGAAGACTTTCATGACTATACTGTAGAAGATGCTGAGTGCTGCAACTGAGATTTCAGGGATCAGTTCCGCTAAGAATGGTGACATTACCACCAGGGATGCTTAGATGAGTGCCCAAATGATGGAAATACCCTTAATAATGCAACAGTGGTCATAGGAGAGCTGGAATCAAAATCTTGTTCTTTTTTCTGGCCTACCAGCCAGTGTCACAAGCTCTTATGGTAAAAGGTACAGGCAGCAACATTGTGAAGGGGAACAACTTTCTGAAAGGCTTCGGGAAAGCAGGAATGCTACTGATGTGGACCTTCCTTCCTTTTTAAGTCCTTTTGTGGTAGGCAGGGCATGACCTGCCAGAATTAACTGCAGGAGTTTAACTCAATCCCCTTAGTTACTGCATCCAACGCAAAGGCACATACAGATTGATTTTGATGATGGCACTCCTGCCTACAACACCAGTGCCCGCATTCAGTAAGGGTCTGCGTGCAGCAAACGCAACCAGAACACAGTTAAAAAGGCACAGGTAAGTCAAAGCCTCAGGTTTCTGATTTGCCCACAGACTGTGATCTCTTAAGAAATTTTCTGAAAGACTGCTTAGAGTAACATTCACTATGGTTACAGCCATTTGCAAGATTTCAGGCCATGGGACAAAGCCTCCTGCGTTCTGGGGGCAGTGTGTTCCTAAGAGCACAGACACAGCATGTAAGCAGCAACTGTCCACAGAACTGCAGTCACCTACTGCAAAAAAAAATAATCTAAAAGTTACATGAGTGCACAGTTAAGGATTCGGTATTATGGAGCACAGATAAATAAACACAGAATGTATTAATAAAAGACAAATTAAAGGGGGGGGGGGGGAGATGTTTCATTTGCCACTGTTTTTAATAATAATAATAAAAAAGATGGCTGTGGGTTTTGGGTGGGTGTGTATCACTTAAGCACGTTTGCAACAGTACAACCCTCACAACCACCCTATGGCAGTAGAGCAGGAAAATGGCAGTAACCAAACTGATCAGACGAGTTTCTCCACCTCTTCTCAGAAACCTACTGTCACATACACAAACAAATCTCATTCCAAAACGATCAGCTTTGAGAGACATTTCAAACCAGACAGCTCACAGCAGCTTCCTTCCCCTCTTCCGACACCACTTGGCACTACAGGCAGCTGAAGAGAGAGCTTTTTGTTACCAACACTTTTAAGGACTTCATTCTAAGCAGACATGCTTCTTTCTTGCTGCAGAAGGTGGGAGACACCGTACAGCTCACTGCACTGACAGCAGAGTTCAGGTGTCGGGCAGAGCAGTAACAGGGCTAAGCCACTCATCTTGTTACACCGATGAATGCTGGGTTGCACTAATGATTAGAACACATTTGGTGCACAGTTGGCTCTATCTGCTCCGAAAAAAAGGGCCTTTCAGGATCCAGAGGCCTCCAAGTCTAAGGAGTCACTGTGATCCATGCCAAAGAAGCAGTCTGTTCTGCTCTGACAACCTGTGAGCTGGAGGGGTGCATGAAGAGACCCTTTGGCCCGCACTCAGGTATTTTATTATATTATATTTATTTATACATATTTATTATATTTTTTATAAAAACACAAACCATTTAAATAAGGGGGAAGCCCTGCGACAAAACTCTGGCTGAAGTTAATGGTTACCTACAGACTTCTCAGATCCCATCTCTCCCTCTGTCAGCAGCATGAGCTGGGTGCCAGAACAACAGTCACACTGGGAACTAACCTCACACATCCTTCTCAAGGTTTCTACCTCCACGAGCTACCCCAGCCCCCTACTTCTTACTCCTCTTAGCACTGGACCACTGATGTAGTCCACTGCAGCTGCAATGAGACCTGTGCCACCCAAAGAACAACCATTTTAATCTTCCCGAGGCTCTCAGCAGCAAGAGAGGGATAAAGCAGGATGCAGGCACATATTCCCCACCCTCCCTTTGCAGATACAACATTCCTACACATGGTTCAGGACTATTTGGTTTGCACTATCTGAATTTACAAGTTAATGGTGACTATTTGGAAATACTTCTCTTTATTTAACATACTTTTCCCCTTCCTCTTCATGTTTCTAAAAACTTCATTGGTACAAAGCTGATTTTTTCCCCTTCTGACTGCACAGAACTGATGGCACACTACAGCAGTACTACTAGATCCTACAGCAGTACTACTGTGCAGTGCTACAGCTACCACAGGAGGTATGCTATTCTGATGGCAGATGCACTACAATTTTTGTATTACTAATACATTTTCAAAAGGTTTGGAGTCCTACACGTTTGATCCATTACCAGAAGAAACTCAAAAAGACAGGAAAGCATTTTATAACACAGCACACAAGTTCATGCTCTTAATCTGGAAGCTATAATAAGAAGTCTTTGTGTTTGCAGCCTGCATTAATGAGGACACTCGCAAGAGGCAAGGTGTAATTGCAGTTCAAAGGAAACTGAAGGACAAACATTGCAGTTTTCATTCAGGTTAATGCTACTACAGTCAACAGAAACTTCACTCAGGCGGAGACTGAGTGCTTATCATTAACAACTCAAATAAGAGATAACTGAGATGTGAACAAGTATTAATACTGGGGGAAAAATGTAAAGTACCAGGCAAGTCAATCTCCCTTCCTGAAAGACAGCCTTACCTGGGTGTGACAGTCTTTTCCATGCTGTTGGTCTAGTAATACTGACTTACCCCTGCATGGGAACATAAAGCCCAGTGAAGGTCCCCAGGCATGCAGTAAGGCCAACAATGACCAGTTAGGAGAAGGCAATCGTTTCCAGCACATCGCAGCAAAGCAGCTGACTGACAGCTTCCTGCACTCTAAGAACATGTTGTCCTTTCCTCTGCAACCTGAACTCGGGCCAAATCTCTCTGCCTTGCTGAAATTATTGGCACTGAGGATGCAAAACAGTTTACTGTCTGCATGAAAGAGTTTGCCCCAGCTCTAAACACACCACTGCCAAGCCTGTTGTATCCTGAGGCTCTGTGCTCTGCTGCAGAATCCCTTCCTTGCTACTGGATGCGATCTTCCCCTGCTCTTAACTTCTTTGTGCTAGAAAGAAATCTTGGATAAAGAATACAGAGCTCTCTTT